ATCAAAGAACACATCGAGCATGGAGCTTCGCCGGAAACCACAAGCCCTCTGCACAAGGGACATGCCTCCTACTCCTCCTCCTCTTCCACCTCGAGGCGCTCTCCTCTCTACCAGTCAAGATCTCTCGGGTCCTCCAGCATGGTCGGCATGCTCGATCACCTCAACTTCAATGGGAGCTCCGTCTACAGCCCTCGGGGGAGGACGGACTCCATGCTCTACCCCGCTAGTCCTTCCTCCAAGACAACAGGCTCCCCTGCTCCTCCCAACTCTGCTCCTTCTGCTCCCTTCGCCGTTCAAGCTGAGAGAGGATCGGACATCTTGCAGCCTCGCAGCCGATCGTTCACGACGCATCAGACGCGCCATGACGAAGTTCCCCATCATTGGCTGCAGATGCCGTCTGCTCAGCCCCTCACTTTCAGCTTCTTGCACTCGTCGAGGATGGAGAGGGGCGACGTGCTGGTAGATCCAAGAGATCGGAGCAACAAAGCGACGCTAGTTGATCACCAGAGCAACAACTTCACGAGCTCGCGCGTGAATTTGACCAACAGCAGCAGCAACAGCAACAGCAACAGCAACAACAACAGCAACAGCAACAGCAACAGCAACAGCAACAGCAACAACACAAACAGCAGCAACAACAGCAACCCAAACATCAGCATTAACAACAGTAACAACAGCAGCAACGGCAGCAACAATCGAGCCTTGTTGGTCGCAAACCCCACCATGCCCCCTAACGTCGCGCAAGAAGCCTCCCCGCAGAAACCGAACCTACCTCAACTGGCCAAGTACCTGAAGGAAAGTCCTACCGCTGCCTCCCCTCAGGCGCCTTCGCTGCCACCAGCGCCAGCGCACAATGGCAGCAAGGTTAGACCCCTTGCCCTCCTTGCTCCTCCTCCTCCACAACTCCTCTCTCCCCTTCTCTGCTCCTCGTGACTACCTCTCTCGTGCCCTTCCTCACCTTTCCCTTGGCTCTTGTGCCTTGTGCCTCCTCCCTTCCTCCCTAATCGGCCACTACCATCATCATCCCTTCCTTGCTCTTCTTCGCTCCCCGCCTCCCTCTCCTCCCCTCTTCTTGGTACCCACCGGCGTCCTCCGCCTTCTCCTCCCTTCTATTCATGCGTGTTTACAGGCTGGCTCTCCAGCCGAGCAGCGAGCAGCGCCAATAACCTTGTCGCCAAAGTCGGAGCAGGAGGGACTTCTAACGTGGCACACGACGTTGAAGAGACTAGAGGAGGCGATGGTGTCTGTCCAGGATCAACATCTCAATGCAGAGGCTGTAGGGCGGGATGAGAGAAAGGATGAGAAGGAGGCGACGTCGAAGACGAGAGAGATGGAGCAGCAGAAGCCCTCTGCTCCTCATGAGGAGAAGGTGGACACGATCATGGATTGGTGAGATGATGACGATGGCGATGATGACAATGACGATGACGATGATGATGATGATGATGATGATGATGATGACGAGGAGGAGGAGGAGGAGAATGGCTGTGTTTGAAGAGTGTTGGCTTTGTTTCGTTGTAGTCTTTTGTTTGTGTGACGATGATGTTGCGCTATAGTCCGCTGCTCCTGCATCTTCACTTTGATTCACCTCCCTCACAATTCCTCCCATCTGTTCAACACATGTTGCCATCTCAATCTCACTCTTTCTTCGTATTCTCTTCTGCTTCCTTCTAACTTTGAGTTGCTGTCAGTGTGTCAGACGATGTTCCCATGACCTCGTGGGGTGAGGGCAGCATCTGCAAGTCACCGGCACAGTGCAAACATCTCCCCGATTGCTCGATCCCGTCAGCCGACAGATTGAAGGTATGGAGTTGATGAGAAGGACCAGGAAGACGAGGATTAGAATGATGAAAGTTGCATTGATGACGATGTCGATGACGACGACGATGATGGAGATGATAACGATGATAATGACCACAATGACGACGTGAGAGAAGGAAACGGAGATGATGATGATGATGATGATGATGATGATGATGATGATGATGATTTCATGCTTTCTTGTACCAATGCTGACATCGATGTTTCAGCAACTCAATCAGCTGAAAGACAACAAGTCTTTGGTGACGAGCATCAGCAATGTGAGAATCTTTGAAACATAGAAGGACGGGAAAGGAGAAGACTTGGAGATGAGGGCGAGGGCGAGGACGAGGAGGGGAAGAGAGAGGAGGGGAGAGGAGGAGGGAGGAGCATGCAGAGAAGGTAAAACTTGTACAGGTGATGCTGGATAGAGGGCCCAGACTGATTCAGCAAGACTTTGGGATGGTTCATCCCATCCTGGGAACATCTCCCCTCATCGTTATCTGCGATGGTCATGGAACCGTTCAACTTCGTTCGGTGAAAACCTCTTCCTTCCTTTCTTTCCCCTCCACTTCCTTTCGTGGCTTCCTCCTATTGGTCCCCTTATTCCTCTTGCCTGCCCCTCCCTTCCCCTCCCGCTCTCTCTCTCTCCATTGTATGTCATAGGCAAGTAGATCGAAGATCGGTGAAGAGAGAGGGG